AAGGCCCTGGGCATGCGTCACTCGCCCTCTGAGTTCCTTGCTACTTGCCCAACAAGTGCAGCCACAGATGAAGGTAGCCTGGCCCGTGGATATCACAACCGAATTTTCCTACCAGTTTCCCAACGCCATTTAGAATACCAGTATTTTTCATTACATCATCCAGCTAATACTTACTCTTGGGATGGTAACAAAGATCATAAACACACAGGCTTAACATTAAAAAAAAAAAAAAATGGTAGCAAGAGAGAGTCGAAAGAACACAAGATTTAGAATCAGAAAACTTGTGTCCGTATGGGTTGCGTGACTCAGAGATCGGTTAATGACCTCATTAAGTTTATAACCAATCGTGAACCCAAGATGAAGGCCCAATGACACCCAGTACCAGCTGCCATTCCAGGCGGTCTGGGCACGGGGACCCTTCTCATCTGTAAAGCAGAGAGAAAGAGAGAGCAACGTGAGGACTAAGTTAAACCATGTCACCAAAACCAGTGTACTCGATCTCCCACCGATCAGTTATAAGAGCAGATGCTCTTAGCATGTGTAGCACACGCATCTGTGCATTTTGTTCCATGGGTGGGTACCATCACTGCACAAAAGGGCCATTCCCTTGTTGGAATCGCTTTGTACTGGCTGTCTCCAGGTCTGTTTTGTTTGCTTTTGTGTACTTCTTTCCGTGTCTGTGTTCGGAAGACTTGCCAGCCTCACACCACATCTGGCACAGTGGTTCATTCAATTTGCTCATTCCTGAAACAAAATGGTGCCTGGGCTCCGTTTTCAAGTGGGCCGAGCATCTGTAGTTGGTATGAGTGACGCCCATGGTTTCAAACCCACCACATTCTTGTTCTGATCTTGGTGCCACAGTCGTGAGGAAGCAACACTTTACAGAGGTGTTTTACCTCAAAGAATGGGGCCAAAAATAACTGTTTCTCAATGTATGTAACCCACTCTCATTTTTCTTTTTGAGGTGAGGATCTTGCTAATAGCCAATTTGTAGAGCATCTCATGAAACCCCTTTTCCGCAATTCTTTTTCTTTTGTGGCTGGGACTCACATGCTCTTTCTCATGGATTCTGAAAAGTAAGCTGTGTTGTTTCCAGTAACAGCCATTGAAAACTCCGGAGAATTCATTTTCCTGACAAACTAAGATAATGAATTTCTTTCCCTGTTTACTAATTCAAAAGCTGTGGCCCACACCGATGGGAAATCAACAGATAATGGCTCTCTGAAATGGGAATTGTCTTGAAAATGCCCCTGGCATATCATAGGAAAATCTTGGAGTTTTCTTTGTTCTTCCTAAATAAAGAACACACTCTATACTTTGATCACAGTAAAGTGTCCCTTCCTTCGCTCTTGGATCTCCTATCTCTCTGTGGATCTTGGAATGTGAGCGTTCCTGACCCCAAGAGTTGGCAAACTGGGAAGGAAAATGCATTCACAACAGCAGGACGATGTTGTCGGACACAACACTGGAGAATCATCCACATCACTGTCGTTGTAAAGCCCACTTTCTACTAATTTCCCTTTCACTTAAACTTTCGAAGAAATCTTTCCGTATCTATAAGCGGCCACCCGCAACCTGAAAGATTCACGAGATTGTGACACAGCACCGGACATTTACACTGAGCTATGGAAACTCTGGATTGAAGATTTGTTTTGTTTAAAGACTGATTTGTTTAGAGTCACCTGGGTGGCTCAGCTGGTTAAGTGTCTGCCTTCGGCTCAGGTCATGATCCCAGCGTGCTGGGATCGAGTCCCGCATCGGGCTCCCTGCTCAGCGGGGAGTGCTTCTCCCTCTCCTGCGCCTCCCCCCATCTTGTGCACACACTCTCTCTCTCTCTCTGTCTCTGATAGATAAATAAATAAATAAATAAATAAATAAATAAATAAAATCTTTAAAGACTGATTTGTGTAAAGATAACATTTCCAGGAGTAAAAATTAAACTCAATTAACAATCTGACGGACACAGCCACATGCAAGTCTGGCTTCGCCTGGAACAAAGGATTAAAGGAGCGTCCCGTTGGGAATGGTGACATATTTTTCTGCTTTGATGCCCGGGTGTGACTTTTGCTCCTTTTAAGGAACTTGCAAAAACTGAGTTGTCCATGGTTTAAAAAGCTTTGACCTTTGATCCGAATCACTGATAACCTACAACAAACTCATTCCTTTTACGTGTGTTTCAGGGACTGCGAGGCCAGGGGTCCCAGACGAGTCTGAGATCAGCAGCCCACCTGCGCCAATTTCATCTTTTTAAAGAACAGATTACCTAAAGGTTCCTAGAAAGAAAAGAAAAAAGGCAACGTTTTCCGCTATGCTTCTCACAGAGTTGCTGTGGAAATGAGCATCGTAAAGGGAAGGAGTTCTCGTATTCACCCCTGTCCCTATGTCTGGGACACACAGCTGTTCCAGAGAGATCTCACCAGGCTGACGTGAGCCACACGCCCCCAAACACGACAGCGAAGCACGCCAGATCTGCGTCTGAGGTCCACGTATCAGATGCACCGGACAAGTAGAGGGAGAGATGCGTGTTTCTGGGAAAACTGACGCCCGCCTTCTGAGCGAACAGTTAACGGGGGCGGAGGCTGCAAAAACCCCCCCCACCCGCCTGCATGTGCCCGAGCTGCAGGGGGGGGGGGGGGGAGCTGGTGCCCTGGGCAAGGCTCTGCCCTCCAGAACCAGAATATTACAGCTCACAAACACGGAAAATGGGTTTAATACCCACGTTTCTATAGACGAAGAGCGGCGAGTCCCCCAGTACTACAAAATCAGCACTGGCTCGCTATCTTCCATCTCGTCCTGAGGGCGAAGGTGGACCCGGACAAAGGGGAGCTCACCAGGCGCACTGACTGGGTTTTCTCTTCTATCTGCGCCCCGGCCCAGGGCCGGCAGGGTCCCCGGGATGCCATGTCTGGGGAGGGACTTGGGCGGGCTGCCAATGGCCAGGGGAGGGTGGGGCCAGTGAGGGGAAGCAACGCAAATGGAGATTCCTGTTGATTTCATCAGCCCCGGGTGTTCAGAGGGCTTAGCATGGCTGTCTTCATGGCCTGGAAGGGTTCTCACAGTTTAGGGAAAGTACAGGGCAGCTGGCTGCCCACACGGCTCTCGAAACAAGCGGATTTGATTCAAGACTTTGCTCATAATCAGTGTCTCCCAAAGCCTAGACCCGGCTGTCCCCAGGAGACCTCCAGACACATGGGCCCTTATCCAGCAACGATGCTGAAAGACACATGCACGGGGCTCATGGTAGCTCAGGGGTCTTCCATTGGGAGTGTCTTATGGGAGGGAGACTCACTGCACAGCAACAGGATAGCGGTGATCAAACTGTGTGCGGCTGGTTCAGTGGGTGTTGTGGGCAGAGGGAGGCTTAGCATCAGAAGCTTTCCTACATTTTCCTTGTTGTTGTTGTTATTTTAGTTGTTGCTGTTTTAAAAGGGCTCCACGCCCAGCCTGGAGCCCAATGTGGGGCTTGAACTCACGACCCTGAGATCAAGACCTGAGCTGAGATCTAGAGTCGGATGTTTAACTGACTGAGCCACCCAGGCACCCCGACATTTTCCTTGTTTCATTCACAGGCAGACAGAAGCTCTGAACCACCTTTCCACCAGGGAAATGCTGATACTGCAGTGAGTACATTTGCTAAAAGCAGCCAGGAACTTGAGTGCATCATGCTGGATATTTTCATTTAAACCAGCAGATGTTCAAAACCAGGCAGAACTATCTGTAAGACACGAAGACAGTTTATTCTATGTTTAATTTCTATATTTTTTTTTTTACTACTTTTCTCTCTCTGCTCAACTGCGTCCTTTTTGGAACAGAAGGTAAGCTCTTTGAGCCCCTGAGTCTTCTATTCTCTGTCTTGGTCACCCCTGTGCCTGGCAGGGTACCTGGGACAAAGTGGGTACTTAGGAAGCATTTGTCTTATGAACTGATGCTCGAAGCTACCCAACCCCACCTCCAGCTTGCTCCCCTGAATTCTGGAATGCTGACGCCCCTGGACCCCTGTGCTTGTCTTCTAGCTTCAAACCTACCAGTGTCTGGCACCTGGAGCTCCCTGCGGGTATAGACGTGTATTTAACTCCTTGAGGGAGCTAGTGCTCCTACAGCCTGATGCCCCATGACATCTAGCCTAGCAGCTCGGAATGCGTTCAGTGATCGCACTTGGATGACACTAGGGTACTGATGAACATGTCAATAAGCATTCAGATTTCTTTTCAATTGTCAAGGCTGCACAGGACAAATTAAATTCATAGTACATATCCACAAACATTCTGATAAGAGGATAATTCAATATAGGACACAGTAATAACTTCTAATTTCCTGGGATGCTGCTAATTCGGATTATGTGTCCCCTTAAGGGTCGGCAGATGGCCAGAGGGGGTGAACTTCGCAGGCTCTAGACTGCAAAGTAAACTCTAATTACACAGCAAAACTGAAAATACTCATTTCCCTCATCTTTTCCCATCTCTCTGTGACTTAAATGTTTAGATGACACATCTTATTCTTCTCTCGGCTGTAATGCCCTGCTCCTTTCCCTACTGCATTAACTGTGTTCACTTGATGGGCTCAAAAGTCGGTTCTGACTTCAACTCCCTCCTGAGATGATTTTCGATTTCTACAGCCGGTCTCATAGAGAGGCTTTTCACCACGTGCTGAACTGACTTGTTTCTGTAAGGTGGGACGTTCACTCTGTTTCCGCTTTCCCCCATGGTGTGTTCTGTGATAGATAAGCGACAGAAGGAGAAATGTGACTGGCCTGTGAGGGTCTTGCAATCTAGCTGAATGCAGACAGCAGGTGCAAAATACCCGGGTACCCCACCCCCCGGGGGGGAGGCAGCTTACACCTGAATGCTAGGCACGGCACCATGGGCATCTCTACGCTGTTTGCACTTCTTGCATCCAAACAGTGGAAGAATTCTAGGTGTGCTCATAGAAACTTAGGTAAATAGTTGGTAAGTTATAAAATACATTTCCTAGAGGGCAAGCAATGTAAAGGTGAGGGGGACGACAGGCCCTTTGGGTTGGCCGTGTGCAAAGAGAGGGAGCTTCTGAGTGTGGCCCCATGACTTCATCAAGGAAGGGACAGAGACAGGAACACAGAGGTTGGCAAAGGGCGTGGCCTATCCGTCCATCCATCCCTGAGAGACGCATACCATAAACACAAGGCAAATTTTATCCTTTCTAACCCAGTCAGGCAGGTTAACAGACTTTTAAAGTAGCACTTTATACACTCTACATTTAGGAGAAATGCCGGATTCATCGAGTGTATTCTGCACACGAAGGCAGTGGTCTGCCCCACGTCACAACTGTAGTGTGGCTGAGAGCCGAGACTTAACCCAGACCTTCTGCTTCAAAACCTTCTACAACCAGTGCAACTCATCTTCTAGAGGAATTCTTTTTTTTTTTTCTTTTTAAGATTTTATTTATTTGTTTGACAGCGAGAGACACAGTGAGAGAGGGAACACAAGCAGGGGGAGTGTGAGAGGGAGAAGCAGGCTTCCCGCCGAGCAGGGAGCCCGATGCAGGGCTTGATCCCAGGACCCTGGCTGGGATTATGACCTGAGCCAAAGGCAGACGCTTAATGACTGAGCCACCCAGGATCCCCTAGAGGAATTCTTTTAGGGTGAACATTTACGCCAGCCCCAAAAAACAGTTTTCACGACTTTACAGTTAAACCTTGTGTGGAACAAAACCATAGGATTGCCCAGGTTAATTCAACAATGTATTCAAACATCTAGATTCCAAACAGACTTTTGAAGATTTCTGAAAGAAAAAGGAAACCCAGCCTCAAATATCCAACAGTGTGGGCTTGGGGCTCTGTCTGCAGGAGCTGTTGGAGGGCCTGGGTGTGGAGCCGTGTGGATGCTGGGGCACAAGCCCCGTCTCAGCCTGAAGCCCAGCATCATGCTGCACGTCCACTCAGCTAAGGGAGGTGTGCTGTTCACGCCTACAGACTGCAACCTGTCCAGCACAGTGGTCTTTTTCTGGTTCAACCCTTTTGGACAAAGCAGCAGGTCTGGTTGTCAATAACTGATGTCAGGCAGTCCCTGCCTAATTCATGTAACGAGAAGCGAAAAGCAAGAGCCTCTGACCTTGAGCCTCATGGGGTTTGGACTCTAGGTGACCTATCACACAGATGCATGGGACCCAAGAGTATGGCGGCAGCCTTGACTCCAGCCTCTTGCAATGGTTTATTCCTGGGAAAAGGGGTTCTGTCACTGGTCCCTGGGCCCAAGTACTAGAATTCTGATGAAACTGTATCAAGAGCAGGGTGAAGAGAAAGTAAAAGCCTCCAAAGACAGGAATAAGCGCAATCAGAGCCACAGGGCTGAATCTGTGAGTCTGTGGATCGGGGTGTGCTCAGGAAACACAGAAGCCACATGAGTACACGCTGTCTCCTGAAGTGCAGGAAGGGCAGCAATTAGCACACGGCACCCTGACACAGGAAGGCTGGGGTCTGGGCTGCATGCAGCTGGGTGGGGTCGAGCGCCAGAGCGCCCCATGCCCAGGCTCCCGGGATACAGGTGCCAAGGTGGGGACACCAGGCTTGTCTTCTCGGGCTGCCCTAAGCAGGCATACTGCTTCTTCCCTTTCCTCTTAGTAAAAAGAAAAAACAAAGCCTCTCTCCTTGACCACCTCTGCTGCATTGCTTCATCAGGTTGCGGCAGACTGTTTTACGAAGTTATCGAGAAGCTTCATTCAACACATTTTTTGCAAACCATTTCACAGATGTAATGGCATCTGTCTTTGAAGCCGGCTTCTCTTAGCGCCTGTCCTTAGTGGCATGCTCGTGGAATGTGCTTCACGTCTATAAAGCAACTGCCCGCCTGGGCTTCAAAAAACTCAAGAGGATTTACCAACCCCCCCAAATTACCATAAAGAGTGCACGAGAAGAGAATGAATGGATGGAAATCACAACTAAAAGTACTGTATTTCTGCACTGATCTCAGCCACTCTGCTTTGGAAAACTGCTTTGTTTTTACATGTTTACATTTGGCCTTATTAATAATAGTTTTTACTATTAATAAATTGCCTTCTCATTATTTTGCGCTTAATCCAATGTCTACAAGATGTCTGGTTAAAACAGAGCTGTGTAAAACAAATCCAACTGATGTTAAAAATTGGGCTGGACCTAGATTTTTCTCTAGATCAAATTTGGCCAAAAAGGGAAGAAGGAAAGGAAGCAAATTTTCACCTTCATTGGTGAGGACAACTGAGAAAATGTTTTGAAGAGGAAACGGATTTGAACACTACCGTGGAGAGGTGGTAAGGGACTAGCTTCTGGCTAAATTTCAGCCAAGGTGGATCTGAAAAGGTTTTCTGTAAACGGGGGACATGGTTCCTCTCCAGAACTCTGCATCTGCCCCATCCAGCAAGTGGCCCCCGGCCGAGGAGGCTCCGGAGGACTTGAAACACGGGCACTCTGAATTGAGATGTGCTGTACGCATAACCTATACTGGTTCTCAAGGACTACAAGTAGAAAGGAGTAGAGTACTCATTAATGATCGCTTATATCAAGTGCACGTTCAAAGAATAGTATTTAGGGTATGCCCTGTTAAATAAAGTCTATTAAAATTAATCTCACCTGGGCCAATTCTCTTTTTGAATGTGTCTACTGGAAAAACTGAGAATCACAGATGCACGTCTCATGCTATTTTCATTGGACAGTGCTGACCTAGAACATCTGATTCCTACGTATCTCTTCTTTTTTTTTTTTTTAGATTTTATTTATTTATTTGTCAGAGAGAGAGAGAGCATGAGCAGGGGGAGGAACAGGAAGAGGGAGAGGCAGACTCCCTGCTGAGCAAGGAGCCCGATACGGGGCTCGATCCCAGGACCCTGGAATCATGACCTGAGCCCAAGGCAGATGCTCAACTGACTGAGCCACCCAGGTGTCCCTGATTTCCTGCACTTCACAAATATGTTGCAGGGATGCCGGTTATTACTCATCTATGAAATCTCTGTCCCTAGACAAGGACTGAAGGCTGCCCCACGCGTCATAAGGCATAGAGCCCCTGCTGCTTGCCTGCCCAGGACCCTTCTGGAAAGACCCACACATAACACCTAGAGAGTGTGCCTGAGTGTGCTGTGTGCATGCACAGGGCCGCCTGACCTTAAGGATAAGTTTTTAGGACACACTCCATCAGTAATAAAAAACAGCTACTGAGGGGCCCCTGGCTGGCTCAGTCAGTAGAACACGTGACTCTTGATCTCAGGGTTGTGAGTTTGAGCCCCACGCTGGGTGGGGAGCCTACTTAAAAAAAATTGTAAAAAAACCCACAAATGGACACACACAAACCATCAATAGGATTTTTAACACTCGCAGCTCCAAAGTCAACAATAAAGTTCAGTCTATCAGTAATAATAGTACTGCTTTGAAACTGGGAGTAAATGCAGTGTTTATAATGACAAGTTAACTCTGTTATCTTCTCAGGAATAAAACCACTTCACTCAAAACCACAGCCTTCTCTACCGAACCCGAATTTCACCGACGACAGATGCAGCTGTATGCAACACCAGGATGAGTGAGGTGGTGACCACCCCAGGTAATAGTTAATGGTCCCTCTTGTCCTGATGGCGGGAACGGAGGCCTTCAGAGAGATGTATTCTACTTCTGGCTACCTCTGCCTTCCACGGAGTGGCGTGGACACCGTGACAGCAGGAAAATTCCGCTGGGTCCCAAGAAGGATAATAAAAAGCATCATGTAGCTGCCCCCAGGGCTGCCATCAGAGGTCTTGTCCGATCACAGGTCTTGTCGGTTTCGCCTCTGCTGTGACAGCCCCGCGTTCTGCAAGACGGAGCGGTCACCTCTACCACACACTCTCGAACGGCTGCGAGCAGCCGGCTGGAGGCCGCCCGTCAGTCACCCCCACCCGGTCGGGAAAGACACCGGATGTTCAGGGCTTCACCGGCATCCTGCCCGGGTGATTTCAGTGGAAATCGGCAGCATGCAGCCACATCCCCCGTGGGGGAAGTACTCTCCCAGCAGGCAGCCTTGTAGAGACACACCCAAGACATGTGGCTCAAAGGCCCCTGCAGCTCACTCGCTCCCCAAAGTAGGGCACATGACGGCGCGTTGCTTAATGGGGTTGCATCCAGCATCGGCGGCTTCGAGGCAGGCATGTGGAAAGGGCCCCCGTGGCCCGTGGCCCATCGGGGTGGTTTCTGATAGTGTCCCCAGCTGCCTGCCCAGACACCAGGCCCTTGCCGAGAAACAGGCCCATTGAGGTCACCGCACGCACAGGGACAAGCAGCGGGGCCATCCCCTAGATCTGTACACACACCGCACGGTTGTATTTCATCTGACAAACTCAGTCACAGAAACTTTTCCAGAAGACCAAGTCCAATCCCACATTTCGAAGGATATTGGGAGGCTAATGCTTTCCCGGAGAAATCATCGTTACTGATTCATGCATGTAATGCACACAAGTGTCGCTTTGCAAGTCCAGGCTCTTCAAGCCCAAATAACCAGCCAGAGCCATAAAAATAACATCTCATCAGTAAGACCCAGAATGCTTTTCTAGTCATGCTTCCCCCAGTCACAAAGCCAGTGTGCCTGCCCTCCCCACCAAGAAAACCAGAGAAGCATTCTATTTATTAAGACCACGAGTACAGCTGGTGTGACGTTTCCAGCTTGTGACCTCAACGGCAGAGTCACCTGGAATTAACCCTCTGGTTGGACGCACCGCGTTTCCCCTTACAGCCACCCCCCTTCCCTAACCTGCTCTACAAATACCCACTCCCGCTTGCACAGCCACCCACCAAAGTGTCCCCTGCCCCTGTGAACACCGTGAAAATAGTACGGCAGCCCGTGGTGTGCACATATACCAGCTCTAAAAAAAAAAAAAAAAAAAAAAAGCTCTAAATTGTAGCATTTGCCAATTTCTGTGGTGTCAATCCTTCCAGCACTGGGGAGCTTCAAGCTCCCATTGGCTGGTCCCGAGCAAGCCTGGAAGCTTCTCTGAGTCTGTACCGGTTGGCATATTCCCGCGGGCTCTAGCAGTGGACGGGAA